TGGCACCTTAGCCGCTTGAGCCACAGGCGCCAAGCCAGGATACCCACTATTACCGCTACTTTTCAACATAGTGCTAGAAGTTTTAGTCATGCAATCAAATAAAAGAAAGATATTAAGGGTATCCAAATGGAGCAGAATGGGTCAAACTATCACTCTTTGTAGATGTTATGATCCTATACTTAGAAAATACCAAGCCATCAACCATGAGACCTTGAAATGACCAAGAAATACAGCAACATTTCAGGTTATAAAAATCAATGTACACAAATCAGTAGCCTTCATATATGCTAACAACAGTCAAGCTAAGAATCAGATCAAAGATATTATACCCTTCACAGTAGCATCATACAAAATTAAATACCTTGGAATATATCTAACAAAAAATGTGAAGGATCTCCACAGAGAATTATAAAGCACTGAGGAAAATAGCAGAGGATGTTAACAGATAGAAGTACATATGCTCATGGCTTGGAAGAATTAATATTGGGTTTTGGGTTTTTGGGGGGGTTGTTTTTTGTTTTTTTGAGACAGAGTCTCGCTTTGTCACCCTCAGTATTGTGCTCTGGCATCATAGCTCACAGCAACCTCAACTCTTGGGCTCAAGCGATTATCTTGCCTCAAGCTTCCTGAGTAGCTGGGAGTATTGGCACCTGCCACAATGCCTGGCTGTTTTTTTAGGGACAGGGTCTCATTCTTGCTCAGGCTTGTCTTAAACCCGTGAGCTCAGGTGTCCACCTGTCTCGGCCTCCCAAAGTGCTAGGATTACAGGCGTGAGCCACCGTGCCCAGTGTATACTACCCAAAGAAATCTATAGATTTACTACAATCCCCATTAAAATGCCAGTCTTACTTTGAAGATCTTAAAAGGAATTCTACATTTTGTATGGAACCAGAAAAAAACCTTGATTAGCCAATGTGATTCTATGAAATAAGAATAAATCAGGAGGCATCACTGTGCCAGACTTCAGGTTATACTACAAGTCTATAGTGATTAAATCAGCATGGTATTAACACAAAAATAGAGACATAGATCTCTGGAACAGAAGAGAGAATCTGGAGATGAAACCAGTCTCATATAGCCATCTAATTTTTAATAAAGCAGACAGAAGTATTCACTAAGGGAAAAAAATCTCTATTTGATAAATAAATCTCTATTTGAAAAACCATCTCTATTTAATCTGCTGAAAAAAGTAGTATTCCATGGTATATGTATACCAGTTTATTAATCCACTCATGTATTGATGGGCACTTGGGTTAACCACATGTAAGCAAATGAAACTGGAGTCACACCAGTTAAAAGTTAACTCCTAATAGGGTGGCACCCGTGGCTCAAAGGAGTAGGGCACCTGCCCCATATACGGGAGGTGGCGGGTTCAAACCCAGCCCCAGCCAAAAACTGCAAAAAATAAATGAATAAATAAAAGTTAACTCCTAATACATAAAAGATCTAAATCTAATACACAGGGCAGCACCTGTGGCTCAAAGGAGTAGGGCACTGGCCCCATACACCAGAGATGGTGGGTTCAAACCCAGCTCCGGCCAAAAACTGCACAAATAAAATAAATAAATAAAAACATTTTAAAAAAAAATAAATCTAATACACAAAAAAATAAAAACTCTAGAAGATAGTGTGGGGAAAACTCTTGATCTTACCAGACTAGGGAAAGATTTTATGAAAAGACCCCACTAGCAATTGCAGCAGCAACAAAAACAAATAAATAGAACTTGATAAAGTTAGGAAGTTTTTGGACAGCCAAGGACACAATCCACAAAGCAAAAAGACAACTTTCAAAATGAGAGATATTTGTCTGCTAAGAATCTACAATGAACTCAAGTGTATCAACAATGAGAGAGCAAACAACCCCATTAAAAACTGAGCAAAACACATGAAAAAGTGCTCAGCATCCCTAATTATCAGAGACATGCAAATCAATACCACTTTGAGATATCACCTAACCCCACCCAGTGAGAATGGCTCACATCACAAAGTCCCAAAGCAACAGTTACTGGTGTGGGTGTAGAGAGAAGGGAATATTCATGCACTGTTGGTGGGACTGCAAACTGGTATAGTCTCTATGGGAAGAAGTGTGGAGCTCAAGTGCCTAAGGCGCCAGCCACATACACCAGAGCTGGCGAGTTTGAATCCAGCCTAGGCCTGCCAAACAACAATGACAACTACAACCAAAAACTAACCGGGCGTTGTGGCGGGCACCTGTAGTTCCAGCTACTTAGGAGGCTGAGGCAAGAGACTTGCTTAAGCCCAGGAGTTAGAGGTTGCTGTGAGCTATGATGCCACAGCACTCTACCCTGGGTGACAACTTGAGGCTCTGTCTCAAAAAAAAAGTTTTGGTGATGGATGGTAGTGAGGATTATAAAAGAAGGTGAGTATACTTAATGCTATTGATCTCTACACTCAAAAAAAAAGAAAGAAAGAAGTGTGGAGATTCCTCAAAGAACTAAAAGTAGACCTACCATTTGACCCTTCAATCCCCTAGGCATTTCCCCAAACAAAGAGAAGACATTTTAGGGACATTTGCAGTGGAATGAATGTTCATAGCTGCTCAGTTCACAATCGCAAAATGTGCAAAAACCCAAGTGCCCATCAACACATGAATGGATTAATAAACTGGTATACCTATACCATGGAATACTACTCATCCCTAAAAAAAGATGGAAACTTTGCATCCTTTGTGACAACCCTGATGGATTTAGAAAACATTCTCCTAAGTAAAGTATCACAAAACAAGTATCACATGTACTCACTGCCAGTTTGAAACTAGGAGACTTAACAATCACAGACCCAAAGCAGAGAAAATCTTAATTAAATTCAAGAAGGGGAGAAAGGGGTCTAATAACGTCCCACCCTAAGGGTACAATGTAAGGATATATGGTACATTCCCTGGGTGTAGGACACAACTAAAACTGAATTTTACCTGTCATTTGTAAATTATGTAATGCCAAGTAAAGTAACTTTATTTTTTTTCTTTTCTTTTTTTTTTTTTTTTTTGAGACAGGGTCTCACTTTGTCACCCTCAGTAGAGTGTTATGGCATCATAGCTCACAGCAACCTCAAACTCTTGGGCTCCAGCAATCCTCTTGCCTCAGCCTCCTGAGTAGCTGGGACTACAAGCTCCAGCCACAACACCTGGCTATTTTTAGAGATGGGCCTCACTCTTGCTCAGGCTAGTTTCAAACTCCTGAGCTCATGCAATAAACCCACCTCAGCCTCCCAGAGTGCTGGGATTACAGGTGTGAGCCACCGCACCTGGCTATACCTTCATATTAGTCAGAAAAATTCTTTAATGGGAACAAAATAACCTTCCATAAAACTGGAGAACACTCAGCAAACCTTCATATAAACTACAGACTTTAGTTAATAATGTATTGGTTCATCATATGTACCACACTAATAAGGTACATTTGGCCCTCCATATTCATGGGTTCTGTATCTGTGGATTCAACCAACCATGGATTGAAAATATTTGGGACAAAGAAATTCTACAAGATTCTCAAAAGTATCCAGTTTTTTGTGCTCGCTTTGGCAGCACATATACTAAAATTGGAACAATAGAAGATTAGTATGACCCCTGCACAAGGAAGACACACAAATTCATGAAGCGTTCCATATTTTTAGGGTAATTAGTGGGACCACGCCTATGGTTCATCTTATAAGGGTACATGTGAATCTTTCTAAATGTAGAGTATAAATGTCTTAACACAATAACTAAGAAAATAACATGAAGGCTATGTTGACCCGTTTGATGAAAGTATTTCAGATTGTGTATAGAACTAGCCAACTGTACCCCATGACTGCGCTAATTTACACAGCTATGATTTAATAGAAAAAAAAGTATTTAATTTTTCTACCACCCACATACTCCCCCACTCTATTTATTTGGGGCAGGAAAGAGATTGGTGGATTACTTATAATTATCCTAACAATTTTAAAAGAGAAAAACAGATATGAATTCACCTGACAATATAATTATCTATTTTAGGTTACAAAAAATAAATAATGTAGTTTGTCCAACATTGGATCAGAAAGGGTTAATTTGCCAGGCATTGACTACTATGTTGAATCCGTTTGAATGAAGTGATGGGTAGGTATTGTATTAGGTATTATAAGAAACGTAGAGACAATTTCAAGTATACAAGAGGATGTGGTAGGTTATATGCAAATACTATATCATTTTATATAAGGAACTTGAGCATCCTCAGATTTTGGTATCCAGCAAGTGTCTTGGGATCAAATCTCCCCTAGATACTGAGAGATGACTTTAGATGACTTTCTTAATTATCGATTCATCAAATGTACCACATTAATGTAAGATGTTAATAATAGGGGATTCTCATTACTATCTGCTTAATTTTCTATAAACCTAAAACCTCTAAAGACATAGTCTATTGATTTTTTTTAAAAATTTTTTGAGACAGAGTCCTGCTCTGTTCCCATGACTGGAGTGTAGTGGCACAATCACAGCTCACTGCAGCCTCCAACTCCTGGGCTCAAGTGATCCTCCTCCCTCAGTCTCCTAAAGTGCTAAAATTATAGGAGTGAGCCACTGCTCCTGGCTCTTAAAAATTATTTTTAAGGCTCGGTGCCTGTGGCTCAAGCAGCTAAGGCACCAGCCATATACACCTGAGCTGGTAGGTCCAAATCCAGCCCAGGCCCACCAAACAACAATGACAGCTGCAACCAAAAAATAGCCGGGCAATGTGGTGGGTGCCTGTAATCTCAGCTACTAGGGAGGCGGAGTCAAGAGAATTGCTTGAGCCCAGGAGTTGGGGGTTGCTGTGAGCTGTGATGTCACAGCACTCTACCCAGGGCGACAGCTTGAGGCTCTATCTCAAAAATATATATATATTTTTAAAAGATGATAGAATAAATAAAATCTATTCCATAATCCTGGCACCCAAAACTAACTATTAGAAAGATGGTGGTATAAATATTCCTGGATATTTTCTTTTTTGGTTTTGGTTTTTGGTTTTTTTGTTTGTTTGTTTGTTTGTTTGTTTTTGAGACTCACATAAAGTCTCACTATGTCACCTTGGGTAGAGTATAGTGATGTCATCTTAGCTCACCGAAACCTCAAACTTCTGAGCTCAAGCAATCCTGCCAAGTAGCTGGGACTATAGGTACCTGCCACAACTCCTGACTAACTTTTTCTGTTTTTAGTAGAGACAGAGATCTTGCTGTTGCTTAAACTGATGTTGAACTCCTAACCTTAAGCAGGCCTCCCAGAGTGCTAGGATTACAGGCATGAGCCACTATGCCCTGCCCACCCTGGATATTTTCTGTTCATAAATATGCACACATATACACTGTACACACACTCTTTATCTTCTTTTATAATAAAAATAAAGTCATAGAATTTTTTTTTTTTTGAGACAAAGTCTCACTATGTTGCCCTCAGTAGGGTACCATGGTGTCATAGCTCACAGTAACCTCAAATTCTTGGGCTTAAGCAATTCTCTTGCCTCCCCCTCCCAAGTAGCTGGGACTGCAGGCACCTGCCACAACACCTGGCTATTTTTGTTGTTGTTGTTATTGTTGTTGTTGTTGCAGTTGTCATTGTTACTTAGCTGGCCCAGGCCGGGTTTGAACCCACCAGCCTCGGTGCATGTGGCTGGCGCCATAACCACCATGTTACAGGTGCTGAGCCAAAGTCATAGAATATTAACTATACACAAATTGTTTATAATTCTCACGACAACCCTGAAAGTTATGCTTTCCATTTTATAGATAAAGTAAATGAGCTGTTAAATGGCTAAACCAAAGTTGGTCCCCATTATATTTTGCTCAAACCCTGTAACCATGCCTCACCACTTTGACTTTATCACCACTTTGACTTTATCAAGTTACAAAGCAAAACATAAAGCCTGCTTTTAATTCCATACTTATTTCACATATTTACCCTTCGTAAGACATACTAATCTTTCATTATCTATACTGCCTTCATGCAGCAGCCTTCACTCCATGTGATGATGTATTCCTCGAATCATTACCTGTTGTGTAAGAAGTGATGGCCTAGGTCTTTTTACTCCAGGGAGTTGTAGTGAGAGGCTAACAATGCAACTTGCATGCTTTTTTGGTAGTAAGGTAGCTTTCTGCCTCCTATATAAGCAGCTCTCAGAATTCAAGTATTCTGGAAGATTATTTCTGGTACCTGAAGGTATGGAAGGTAAAGGGTAGATGACAAAGATGAAAAGGTGGAGAGAAGTGCATTCATATGGGGACCTAGGGAAGGAAGGAACTTCAGATGGATTCAGTTGAGATATTTTGACCACTCAGAAGGGATAGTTGTATTCAGAAGCATTCAGTGAATTAATGGCAGCCAGTTCAAGCAGTGCCTGTTGTGATTAGATCACTGTTTAGGGAAACTTTAAAGTTGATCTTGTCCCTGCCCCTTCTCTTGGTGCCTATAGGAGACACTCTGAGACTCCGAACAATTCTGGAAGCAATACAGAAGCACATTCATTCTTCCTCCCTTATCTTCAAACTGGCCCAAGATGCATTCAAGATTGCTACTCCCATGGACAGTAGTACTGACAGCACCCTGCTCAATGTGGCCCTGGAGCTTGGGTTACAGGTATGGAGGAAGCGTAGCAGTTTCCACGTTTCTGGCCTAATGATAATTGGCAAAAGATAAGATCTCTGGGGTACTGGGTATAGACCAAGTCTGGTCCTTTCTTTGTCCCTAAAACATAAGTTCTAGGCTAGGCAAAAGGTAAGGACTTCATACACTAGGCTCCATTTTTAAGTTAAGGCCAGAAACTTTGGGCTCCCATTTTCTCTTCACTTCCCCATTTCTCTATGTCATACAAGGTATGATAATAAGGACACTGTTGTAGGTCATAAAAGAAGTCTCCTATCTGATTGATGGAAGGAGTGGGTAAGAAATTAAACTTGTCGGCTCGGCACCTGTGGCTCAATCGGCTAAGGCGCCAGCCACATACACCTAAGCTGGCGGGTTCGAATCCCCAGCCCGGGCCCGCCAAACAACAATGATGGCTGCAACCAAAAAATGGCCGGCGCTGTGGCGGGCGCCTGTGGTCCCAGCTACTTGGGAGGCGGAGGCAGGAGACTCGCTTGAGCCCAGGAGTTGGAGGTTGCTGTGAGCTGTGAGGCCATAGCACTCTACCCAGGGGGATAGCTTGAGGCTCCGTCTCAAAAAAAAAAAAAAAAAAAAAGAAATTAAACTTGTCTATACTTATGAGGGGAGAGACCACTGTTCAAAGCAACAAAATGTATTTGTTGCATAAATGAATGGCAAGGGGAAAGGAGAACATAGCAGTTAGAATTAGCCCACTGAAAAAACCTCTTTTATGCCTAGGTGATGCGGATGACCTTATCAACCCTTAACTGGAGACGCCGAGAGATGGTACGATGGTTGGTCACCTGTGCTACAGAAGTGGGTGAGTCTCCCAACTCCCTTTGCCCCTAGAGGAAAGGAGTTTCTAGGCCCTACTCTTAGGACAGGACAGTGAATCCTTAGAGCTTGCATATTTTGATTCCTGATCAAAGATCAGGAGGATGATCCTTATCTAAGGATCCTAAGAAAGGATGAGGCTGCTGGTAGGAAAAGATGGCCTCTATTCAACCAGCCCAAGCTCTGCCCTCACTGCTTGAACCACATCCTAATGTCAGCAGCACTTTGACCCTCTGATCAGAGACATGTCTGAGAGAATGAATTTTCAGCCACCAATACTCAAGTGTTCCCTTGGGAGGTAGTGGGCCTGGTGGGTTGGTCCCTATCTATACTTGTAAGAAATCCCAGATAACTTGAAGGCTCAGGACTCTTTTTTTTTTTTTTTTTTTTAGTAAAGACAGGAAGTCATTCTTGCTCAGGCTGGCCTCCCAGAGTGCTAGGATTACAGGCATGAGCCACCACACCTGGCCTCAGGACCCTTTCTAGAGCCCAGAGCCCCAGCACAGGACTCTAAGACTCTACCTTAGAGGCCCCACTTCAGGTAGAAACCCCTGGCAGCTCTACAATCCTGCCTCAGGGCAGGCAAATCATAAGCTCTGCTGCCATCCTTGTGGGGAGCTAAAAGCACCTGCAATGACCTTCAATCCTCTGACCTGTGGAATGAAGGAATAGGAAGGAAACCCAAATAGTGTCTGGCCATCTGGGATGCTCCCCTTGCCCTGGTTTGCCTCAGATCACCTCAAGGCTACTGAGGAGGAGGGAGAACTCAACCCTACAGGCCAAGTTCACTCCCAAGTGCTAACCTGGGCAGACCTGGGTCAGGACCCAGATGTCCACGGCTGAGCTCAGGCTCTCTCTGACAGGTGTGCGGGCCCTGGTGAGCATCTTGCAGAGCTGGTACACACTCTTCACCCCCACTGAGGCTACTAGTATTGTAGCTGCCACTGCAGTATCCCACACCACTATCCTGCGGCTCAGCCTTGACTATCCACAGCGGGAGGAACTGGCTAGCTGTGCTCGCACTCTGGCCCTGCAGTGTGCTATGAAAGATCCACAGAGCTGTGCTCTGTCTGCCCTCACACTCTGTGAGAAAGACCACATTGCCTTTGAGGCAGCCTACCAGATTGCTATTGACGCTGCTTCTGGTGGCATGACCCATTCACAGCTGTTCACCATTGCCCGCTACATGGAGCTCCGCGGCTACCCGCTACGTGCCTTCAAGCTGGCCTCGCTGGCCATGAGCCATCTTAACCTGGCCTACAACCAGGACACCCACCCAGCCATCAATGATGTGCTCTGGGCATGTGCCCTTAGCCACTCTCTGGGCAAGAATGAGCTGGCAGCCCTTATCCCGCTGGTGGTGAAGAGTGTACACTGTGCCACAGTGCTTTCAGATATCCTTCGACGCTGCACTGTGACTGCACCTGGCCTAGCTGGCATCCCAGGCCGCCGCAGCTCTGGAAAGCTCATGTCCACAGACAAAGCTCCATTGCGCCAGCTGCTGGATGCCACTATTAATGCCTATATCAACACCACACACTCACGCCTGACACATATTAGCCCCCGCCACTATGGAGAATTCATTGAGTTTCTGAGCAAGGCTCGAGAGACCTTTCTGCTGCCCCAGGATGGCCACCTGCAATTTGCCCAATTCATCGACAACCTCAAACAGATCTACAAAGGCAAGAAAAAGCTAATGCTGCTGGTGCGAGAACGCTTTGGCTGAGAAAGCAGACTGTTCACTGTCAGGGCAGCCTGGACTCCCAAGTACCGTCAGTTCAAGCCAAGGACATTAAAACACTTGTACACCCTGAGAGTACTCTGAGCACGTATGGCTGAGGCCAAAGGACCACAAAGCTAACGATGGAGAGAGTCTAGCTCTAGCCAATATGCTTACCATGGCAAGCTTCTCACTATGGCCCACTGTTTCTAGAGGAGCTGGGCCCTGCAGGTTGATCAGATACAACATGCCACCTCACGCCTCTGTAATCCTGTGGTTCTGGGCATTGGCCCTCTCTCCCTTGGCAAACACTGAACACTGTTCTGTCTCAGGGATTGCTTAACCAGAGAAACAGAAGCATTTATGGCACTGTAAATACTATAGTATATGTGTTGCCAATTATTGTAAAGTTATAACTATTTATAATTATGGTTCTGATTGGATGGACCCTTGAAGTAGCTGTGGGTGTGGGAGGATATGCTTGTTTTCTGGAGGAGACTCACAACCATTTCTCAGGTTTCCTTGCAGAGTGTATGCTGTTGGCAGCAGAAGAGTGGGGATGTGGCAAGGAGAAATGTGACCAGTTACAATAAATCCCAAGTCTAGACTTTGCAAAAACCCCAGCATCTGTAGCCCCATGGTGGGTGAGGGGCAGAGGACAGGCCTGGACTTAGACTTTTTCCTCACAAAGCTATGAGGACACTGAAGCTCCTGCCTCACTTTTTAGGAGCCTGCTAAGCACCTGAGAAATAAGTGCAGGGCAAAGATGAAGGTCTAGGAACCTGCTGAGCTCAGAATATTCACCTGTTCTGGTCACCTTTGTGTTAGGGAATATCTGGTTTCATCTCTAATTATGTATGTGTGTGTACATCTGTACATGTGTCTAAATACACGTGTCTACGTGCATAGATATAGCGGTGCCTGCCTGCCTGCATGTACACATACATATTTATGTATATCTGTGTCGGTTCTATGTCTGTATATGTGTAAATACATGTGTGCTGGACTGTGGGTTTCTGTGTGAGAGTATACATGTTTGCGTACATGTGAGAATGCTTATCTGGAAGTACACTCGTGTTTATGCATGTTCAGTGTGTATGTGTATCTGAATACATGAATACATGTGTATGAATGTTTCTGTCTGTATGTCTGCTAGCCATGTATCTGTATGTCTTTATGTGTGACTGAGTGTATTTCTACAGGTAGGTGTGTCTGTGTATTCGTGTTTGAGGAGCTGCATGAATGTGTCCCGTCTCTTTTTGCCAGATCTCTCTTCCCCATTTCTTAGTAGCTAAACATTTGTCCCCATCTCTGTGCCTCCTCTCTTCACCAAACAAGCTTCTAAGCACCAGTTTCCCTCTACCCTGAGATTGGCTACGTTGGCTCCACAGTTCTCTTCGGAGCACATACTTGCTTTCTTCCCTTGGCTTTCTACCTCAAACTTTTCTGCTTGTTTGGAGGCTGGGGCTGGTAGGCATTTGGCCTTTCCTTTCCTAATTTCTAGTCCTGGTAGTCAACCCTAGGGTTCCTGCTGCCTTCCTGACCCCCTTATAAGCTTAGCCAGGAATAGGTATAGGAGGTAGCACCGGCATTTAAAAGTCAGTTGGATACCAGTGTCTTGGTGGTGTTTACTGTTTAATGTCTTAGTTCCCAAGTTGAGGGTGGGGTTTGATAGGGAAGCAGTGGTATACCTGAAGTGTGAACTAAGGACCTCACCATCTGCTTTATTTTCCTTTCTTTGACAACTGTTTATGTCACCTTTTTTATTCCAAACTGACCAATAAGTTGTATTTGCTGTTTGTGGATACTAATGTCCTACTGTCCAGCCAAGGGCCCCTATAACATCTCAGCCCAACAGGTTGGTAAAAAAGAGAAGCCACTCCTATTTCTGTATCACAACTCCCCCTTTTTTAGCAAGTGTGTGAACTCACAGTGCTTTTCTATGAATAAATCATGGATCACAGAAAAAAAATCATTTTTCTAAAAGCAGACATTGTGTTCTCTAAGTAAGTGAAGGCCTTCTCTCCTTTCCACATTGCCCTACCTTGGGCCTAAAACACAGTGGGTGCCTCGTGATTCATAGAGATGCAGAATGACAGATAAAGAATTTCCTGTCATGCCAGACCCCTCTCCAGAGCTCACAGACACCCCAGAGCCTTGTTTTTGGAAGCAGGTACTACCATGATTGGCAGAAACACCAGTCCAAAGAAAATTAGAAGATGTACTCAGAAAAGAGTATAGAGCAACTCCAAGTGCCAGAGGGCTTTTTCGTTTCAGAGGCTTTCTCACTTTGGTGATGGACTAATCTAAGCTTCTAATCCTAAGGAACTCAGCTCTGAGCATTCATGTACTCTTCATCCTTTGGTGTCAAAAGCTTATGGTCCCTTAGCTTCACCCTGCTCACCTATACTCCATCTTCCTCCCATGCCTCTCTGAAGTGTTCTAACCACTTCTGTGCCCCTCTTTGATCTATACGCCCCTTCCTCCCCAGACAGAGCCCTAGCAATTTGGCCTTTGTATGCTATGAGGACACCACTCTTTTTGCTACAGATGTTACACCCCCAATTTCTAGGAAGTGCTACTCTATTCCAACTTGGATAGCTGAGAGGAAGGTGGTGGTTAGAACCCTGACATTAAGTGCTGTAGTACATAAATTCACTGTTACCTGACCTGTGATTTGTAGAGGAGAGGATATAGAAAGAGGCCCCAGGGAAGAAGCAAAGGCTAAGAAGGAACTAAGGATAAGGGGCTCGGCGCCTATAGCTCAACCGGCTAAGGCGCCAGCCACG